CCTGCCACATTTCCCCCTTCCAACAGACTTTTTGTGGATGTGCTTTGAAACTGCACTCTGTGAACAGCTTGCTCTTTGAGAAATTTCTTTTTGTGTCTTACCCTCCTGATGGAGGGTGTCAATGACGGTCCTCTGGACAGCAGTCAGATCAGCAGTCTTCCCCATACTTGTGATTTAGTTTACTGAACCAAGCTGAGTGTTTTTCAAGGCTCAGGAAACCCTTGCAGGTGTTTCGAGTTAATTAGACGATTCAAGTGATTCGTTGAACACCCTACTAGTATACTTTTTCATGATATTCTAATATTTAGAGATAGGATATTTGAGTTTTCTTAAGCTGTATGCCATAATCAGCAATATTAAAATAATAAAAGGCTTGCAATATTTCAGTTGATTTGTAATGAATCCAGAATGTATGACATTTTTGTTTTTTTAATTGCATTACAGAAAATAAAGAACTTTATCACAATATTCTAATTTTCTGAGACAGTCCTGTATGTGCATGTTTCAGTGTCCACTGCTTTGCGTATTCACATTCTCCCTCCGCTCTGTTTCTGAAGGGCGGGGCCCCCCTCCCACACATTGATGTACAGAGCAGACAGAAGACCTTGTTTATATTATATATATTATCAAATTGAGAGGTGCAGCCAGTGACTTATCCTAAAACCAGGAAGTAAGCTTCTGGTTCCCTCGACAAAAAGCAATGGGATTTCTCCACAGGGATTTGGAAAATAGCTGGAAATAATGTCTGTGGAAAACGAACCTGTTTGATAAATGCACGTTTTGTTCAGCCGAAAATCTCCACACGTCTACCCTACTTTTATAATTTTCGAATCATAAATCTAATCGATAGATTATAAAAGGGTTTTAGGATGCGTCACTGCACCACGAGAAGCCAACTCCATCGATCAATCTGGCTGAAACTTTCTCTCCCTCTTCTTCTCATGCTCCCTGTCACTCTCCTTTAACTCCTCTGGTGACTTTCTTTTATTTGAAGATAGTTTTTTGCCCGGCTACCGCTGGTATAAAAACATTTTGGCGAATGGTTAGGTGGCGTGATAGTCTGTAGTGAAGGAGCGCGCTCCTGCTCACGGGAGCCTGCTCGTGCTGCGCTCCGCAGCAAACAGCCGTTTGCTTTTCACCCAACAACGACAACCAACTCACAAAACGCTATGTTCTAGCGTTAATAAATGAAACAATTTAACTAAATTGCTAGTCAAAATACCAATACCACCGGCCAATTTTTTTAAAACAATATTTTTAGTGGCCCGAGCGGGCAAGTGGAAAGTACGTTATGCTGGCCCGGGTTGTCTAAATAGTGCTTCCGGGCCAGCGGGCCATTTATAATGTCGAGCCCTGAAACGGCAATTTTATCGAGGTCAGAAAAGTTATCGAGTTCATTTTTATTTATCGCATGATAAGTCAATTAATTGCTTATCGCGACAGGCCTAGTTCCATCCTCAAAAACGAATACTTCTGCAGTCTAGCTGCAGCTTCTAGCAACGGTCTTCTGTTAAAAAAAGGACACTGAATGTCCTGAATGTGGCAGGAGAGGAGACGGTGATCGCGGAAGCTTTCTTCCTGCCTTCACAAACTTGAAGGCAAACTTGGTTCTGGACTGATTCAGAGCGGGTCATTCTGCTGTTGGTTCTGGACTGGTGTTGGTGGATAAAGCAGACTGCTCCGTGTGTGGTGTCGCTGAGCCGCTGTCACGTCTGTTCCCTGATCTCTGCGTCACAGACCGATTTGATATTCATGTGAAAAAAACCTGCCATTGTCCAGCCACGGCCGGAAAATCTGGAAGCGACGTTACTACGCTATAATCGATTATGTTCTATCGATGCAGAATCATCCACGTCCGCATCGCGATGCATCATAGAAATGACACCCCTAATAGTTACACAGCGACAATTTGGAAATGGATCAGAAACACCGGAATTTCCGTTTTGAATTGTGTGAAATGTGTTGAAAGTACTCACACGGACTTGTTCTCATACATTGTGTTGTCTCCCACAGACCCTGGTCAAACAGCTGGACACCATCCTCTGCACCTTGAATGACATTTTGAATGAGAGGTAAGATGGAGCTCTGGACTGGTGCTGTTATGCTATTAGAATGTCTCCCTTTTCATTGTAAGAGTGACTCCTCCCTGCTTGCCCCTAATGTGATTCTGTCTCTAACTGACTCCCCCCCGGTGTTGTTGTGTAGCAGTAAGCTGCTGTGGGAGCTGCGTCAGGACGCCGCAGCCTGCCTGGGTCTGCTCTGCACCGTGCTGAGCTACGAGGCCGAGCGCATCTTCAAGTGGCTCTTCATCAAGTTCACCACGGGCAGCCGGGACGAGGTGAAGCTGCTGTACCTGGTGGCAGCGCAGCGCGCCCTGGAGGCCGCCGGGGAGAGGAAGGCCTTCTCTCACGTCATGCAGGTAACCCCACAGGCTCTGAGACGGGCTCTGTTCCCATATCATTCTCTGATCTGCAGAAGGTGCTGATGGGAGTGTTTTGTGTGTTCCAGCTGGTGATGAGCAACCTGCAGTCCATCCTGGAGAACGTGGACACTCCGGAGCTGCTCTGTCACAGCGTGAAGTGTATCCTGCAGGTGGCGCGCTGCTACCCGCATGTCTTCAGCACCAATTTCAGAGTGAGTGCTTCACCAAGGAGCGTATGTTGCTCCACGTAGATATCAGGGCAGGAGAAAGTCTTATTGCAGACCTAAAAAACACCCGTTTCCCCTACACCATGGACAATCCAACATTTTTTTATCTTGTTTGAATGTATGCCTTAGAATGTTTGGCTTATTCGAAGCCAAAGCAGTAGTACATACAAAGGTTTGGTTTATTGAAAGCTAATGTACTTTCATGTTTTTGCCTTTTTGATTTTGTATCTGTTTGATTGCACTTATTGTAAATCTTTTTGTATAAAAGTGTCAGCTACGCAAACAGGGTTAACTAAGGTTTTTTCTGTTTTTCCACAGGACACAGTGGACATCTTGGTGGGATGGCACATTGATCACACACAGAAACACTCACTCACTCAGCAGGTTTCAGGTCAGTGGGGTTTTATCATTTGCACTAAACTTGTTTTGGTGTTCAAACTTTGATAAGTTCTCATGGGATAAGTTGGATTGACATTTTGTTTTTACTGCATACCTCTTCTCTGCAATGAAATGTGGTCAACCTGTTTATTTCTGTCTACCGGCCTGTTGCTTGAATTGACTGAATAGTGGATTTTAACGGCTTGTCTACAGGGAAGGCATGTGAGCTCTGTTTTAACCTGTTAAGCCCCAATGGCTTTTTTTTCACGAAACTGTGTCTCAGGGCTTCTTAAAATGTAATAAACCATGAATGTGTCATACTCACTTAACGGGAAGAAACTAAGCTAACTGACAATATGAACCATTTTTACCGAAACAAAACAAGTCTCACAAGAAGCGTCTAAATGAGCCCTGAGCGAAAACATTCTAACGCACTTAGCACAGAACTCTAGGTATAAATCGATCTATATACTTATCGGATCTGCACAAACAAGCTTAGCTAGCAAGCTGTGATTCCACAGATTCTAGAAATATAAGTGTCATCACTGAGCGATCAGAACTTGCGACAGGGGAAGCAAATACAGACATCACACGACGTAGCTTTAGGTAGCAAAACGCGGAGATATGCTCACCTTTTGCTGTTATTCTGATCAAAAGTCGTGTCCAATGGCATTAAAACAAGAAAAACACGGCTGAAGGTTAATCCATAGGTTAATACAATGTGTCTGTCACAAAATTATTGATAATCCATCATTCAATTTTTATGTCAAAAATTGAGTTTTCATATTAGCTGCTAATGATAGCTACCAGAGTGTATGACAGCTTCCTGTTTTGGGTATTCTGGCTACGCGTCACTCTCACTCCTTATTTGGTAACGTGTGTGAGTATGTGGAACTTCCCCTCAATTCAATTGGCTCTAACGGTTAAAAAGAGATGTCAATCATCAAAATCGACCGAGGGGGGCCAGAGATAGATCAAATGACCCCAGAAGTGGGTTTTTTGTTGTTGCTAAATCTCTCTAAAAAGGTCAAATGTCACTTGTTTTGCATCAATCTTGATACAGGGTACTTATTAGGCGTTATAGTTTGGATTCCTAAAGCTTTTTCTCTACTATCCCATCATTCAAAGATGGTTCTTTTTGGACAGACACTAACATTTACATTTCTTTACTATGTCTGAATTAACTTTAAAATTAAAAAAATCTATATTGATTCTGACTTTTCTACGTCCAACTCACAGGTTTGTCATTGCTTTGAGAGAAAAGATTATTAATTTACCCCTTTTTAGAAGGGAAGATATGGTCATTTGTTCTGGGAATGTCATTTTCGAGCCTGAGACCTGGAAAACAGGCTCGGGGCTTAACAGGTTAAAGTAATCAACACTGCCTGTATCTACACGGGCTGCTTAAGGACTTCATTATTTTTCTCACTTTTATAAGCTATTTTTAATAGATGACCCAAAAAACGAAATCTACTCAACAGGAAAAGAGCATTGTTTACAGATGAAATAGACAGTTCTGATTTTAATATACTATGAAACGAGGATATCCATTGATTAATGGATTAATCTACTTGCACTTCATCTGACCATCACAGCAGTGCTAAACATTGTGCTGCTGTAGATGGCAGTCCAGTAGCTCATGCCCCCCCCCCTCTGTCCCCCCCC